TTTGACCGAGTGTCGCATCATACAAACCAACTGAAGACTTTTCTTAACACAAACTTTATTGCCAAACGTACAATCTACTCGCTGAGCAAGAATTGACCCCTGCCCAGTCGAAATATGGTCAATATGATTTGGCTTGTGTGATTTAAAATGTTAAATGAAAAAGAAAAGTCCGTAACCGTTGGGATGACGATTTACTTCACGCCGCGATGATGAACACGGTTTATGGAACCGATTTTCACGGAACCTGTGGAACTGAAATGATTTTCGTTTCGATAACGTCACAATTCAAGCAGGGCTGATGCTAGAACGGATTAGTTTACAGCGACCCGGCAAACAACGCCCAGTCTCCCGTTTTTTCAACGTAATGGGGAGCATCTGTTTACCTCGGAAGAACGAAAGGCGAGTGACGCGGACGGGATTCGAATTATAGTCCTTCAAGTGCAACTTGAACGTTCTCTCGACTCAGCCTACCTGCTTGAAGTCGAAAAAACCATCTGAAATAAACTAGGTAGATCGATGGCGCTGTTGGCTGTGAAAACGAACGGTGAGTAGACAGTGATCAAGTTGGTAGAGCACTAGCTGCAATAGTGATGAAATGCATCCAACAGTAACGTCATTGGCGCTTCACGCCGCCGACAAACTTCACTTTAACAGTTGCATATGTCGTTTGTACAGATGTATGTTGTTTGCACACATACAAACCTAGTAATCGGTATACAAATGGATACGTTTATGTTGGCTCAGTAAATTTACTTTGAAGTTCGGCAATAAATCTTCTCCTTTCTCTTCTAACTACGATAATACGTTCTGATCGATGTCCGCTTATTCCGCATCTAAATACATAGCCATAAGCATGCAAAGCTACAAGTAAAGACAGCGGCACGACAGCATATGACATGAAATACGAATGACTGACAGTTGTCAAGCGAAGATCAACAAAAGCGCGATCGAAATCGAAATCAGGTAGCATTCTCCAGCAGGCCTAGCCGCGTGTTCATCACGTTCATCACTATGTCTGTGCCTCACAGTAGCTGTTGGCGTCAATGACAGTACGATGGCGAGCAGCTGGCGGCGGACAGCGGGCAGCAGAGAGCAGAGAGAGGACTCGAGGAAGAGTGCAGCGTTCGGCGATTCCGAATTCGATTCCTGAATTTTCCCAGAAAACAACGATGCCGCCTGCGTACTTCGAAAACTCAGTCGCACACGGAACATGACAGCATCGATGATTCTTTTCGGACATGTCAGGAAACTGCACGACAGGAAACAGGAATTAGGAATTAACTCCGAGCGGCATGGTTAAGAACGAACACCAGTTGAGTTGCTATGTTGAGGATGCGACGCGAGAGCGTAAGTACTGACGGAAGCGAGACGAAGAGAGGCGGCCGCCATTCACAGCTTCTTCACAACACGGCGTAAGATAAAGAACTAGACGACACTCGTTCGAGTGAAAAAGCGACAATGCAGTCTACTTCGATGACATACTTCATGTTAGCATGTTTCTGCGTTTCTGCATTTCTAACAACGAACGACATCATGCGACCGATTCGTAGAGGTGTGCCGGCGTCTGGCGGAAAAAGTTTTTCGCCAGCCATTAATAAATCCCGAATTCGCATAATGCACATGCCGTCCCAGCACTTAAGTCAGTTAAGTCAAACCGAACTCAAGCAGAACACAGACAGACAACAACATGGCACGGCTTTGAATAGCGTGATGCTACCGACACCTAGAAGGACACAACGGTGCAACAGTATTTCTGTCCAAGCCACAGAAATCGTGCAGAAGTTGAGTATTCGTTGCGAATTTCATAAGCATTAGCACAAAGTTTCTGGTTTGAATATCCGATACATTCAACACTTCAATGTACACCACTTCACAAACACACACACAACACAAACACCAGCTGCCGCTGCTGTCGAATATCGCACTAGCATATCACAGAAGAGAGACTACAGTTCAAAGAGAATACGAGAGGAAAGAAAAACAAGTCGCCGTCTATCAAAGAGCTACCAACCCACCACTGAATCACTACAAATCGTTCTGGACTAAAGCGAAAAAGACAGACTACCAACGAATATTAATGTAACAATGATCGAAACGCAAACAGACAGAATTCAGTCTGTCAAATAAACACCCCATTTTGGATCCAACAAATGAACAGTCTGAATTCCCTTCCCAGAAAAAAGCGGATAACGATGCATGTTGACTAGGGGAATGGCTAAAGAATCTCCATCTTGCAGTTGTAGTGCACCTCGTCGAGTAAGTTCGCATATGGTCATGGAGTACGCCCAGAGAAAACATCCAGTCCACTCCCACAGCAAAATCCGAAGCCATTGATCTGACGCTGCTGGACATTGGAATTTCATCCAAACCATTCTGATAATGATGCTGAACAGATGCCATACGAAACAAGAAGACGCTTGTTAGGTACACTTAAGCAGTCAAACAAAATCTCGCTGATTCAACATCTGCATGAACCTATTTGGTTGTTACTTAGGAGATTACAGATAGGGCAACCGACCGAGAAGCGTAGCTAAATGGCTCAATGGACAGCAGCGGCATATCTTAGCTGCAGCTCGCTCTGTTCAAACTTAGCACGTGAAGGTATCAACTTTCTGTGCGTTCCTGAAGACTGTACCGCCATAAAACAGATCCCTAACGGCAATTGCAACGACCAATGTGATATCAGTATTTGACCAGATATTACAAAGGTGAGATATATTCGATGGCTAATAAT